TATTTTTATAATATAATATATAATAATCTTTTTAACAAATTACTTTTCAATTGCATTCATTAAACTTAATTCTTTTCCATCCCGATTAATGTCAGCATGTGCTGATTCAGCTACATTAGTTGTTTCACCAACTATACACCAAATTTCAGTATTGATTTTGGAACAATGTTGGTTTAAACTTGCAAGAACCCATGGTTGATTATAAAATTGTATCCAATCTATATTATTTTAAATACATAAATAATTAATTTTTATATTAAAGATTGTAAATATTTTAATATTTATAAAGTTTTAATTTTAAATAATATTTTTACCATTAATTTCTTTTTATTAAATAATGTTATCTTATTTATAATTAATTGAACTTCTTCATAGCTTTCAGCAGTTAAGATATTTTGCATTAATCTTGTAACTTGTTTTGAAAATTTACGATTTAAAATATTTCTAAATAAAGTATTAAATTATTAAATTAAAAATTAGTTAAATTATTTAAAATAAAGAATTTTATAATTTAGCGCATGTGCGTTGTAATGCACCCCATAAGATCCGGTGTAACGTGAAATCAAAACAAACCAGCAACACATTAATTTAGGGTAAGGGTTAGCACTGATATAAGGTTAGATTAGATTGTAGGTAAATGTTAGTTATATTCAAAATTTTGCAAAGAATTTTTTTGTTAGAACGCAAAAGGTGGGTTCATAAGTAAAATTATGAGTTACAGGCGATTTTTTCAAAACATCGCTATTTTTTTCGATTTCACATTACACCTGATCTTACGATCTGATTGGTCGATCAGGTGGGTGCATTACAACGCACATACACTAAATTATAAAACTCTAAAATAAATTATATTTACCTTTGATAATGTAAGCGACAAGTTTTAAAAATATGAATAAGATATTCAGTCTAGCTTAAACTTGGATCAATATTTGATAAGGCTAGCCTAAGCCCTTTTGCTTGTACAAGATCCAAGTCACCTAAGATACAACTTCAGCCATCATTATGTATATGTTTAATCTTTACTGATATATTTGTTAAGCTTTTAATAGCTTCAATTATAATTATAAACATTTGCTTATATACATTTGCATCAGAAATATTTGTAAAAATTCTAGCATATGTTAATACTATAATAAAATAATTTATTAGTAATTATTTAATAAAATTTATAATTAAAATATAAAATAATATATATACTTATTTGATGATTTTCGTCATATTTATTAAGCTCAAATACATTTATTTTACTTTGTATAGATTTATAAGTTAAATCTATTTGAAAATATTTTGTTTCATAAAGTTTAATAGCTTGTTCTTTAGTCATACAAAGAATCATTATATGATCATCATCAAAGAAGCCTTTAATTTTATAATAAATCTTATTAATATAATTATAATATAAATATTAATTAATTTAATATAATAACTTACTTAATTGTTGAATATAATTATGAATTTCATTTTTATTTTTTGAGAAATTATGTACTATTCCAAGAATACCTTGTCTATATGGATTTTTAGCTTGTTGTATACGATTTACTAAATATCGAAGCTGATCTAAATTGTTAAGTGATGTATGTATTTCAGATAATAAAACTGAATTAGAGATTGTTTGTTATAATATAAATTGTTTGCAAAGCAACAAACAGAAACTAGAAGCTTTT